ATCAAAAAAATCAAAATTTTGGTACGTGTCCGTAAGATGAAATATCACGTGACCGGTACGTGTCCGTAGACTTTCCGCAAAAAACAGTCACTATCACGTGATTTTTCGAAGCTAGCCAATTGATAACAAGATCAAGTGTAACGTAGAAATTGTATTTTTTTTTGAAAAACCGCCTTTTGCATACTAACAAAAAAAAATTCTTACTAATTTGGTATATAATATACAATATTCTCTAAGATTTATTACTTTAATTTCGATTGGTTTGATTTTCGCTGATTGGCTGAAGTCATGTGATAACAATTTTTTTTGCCATGGCTCTGTCTGTCACAACGGCGACATTATAGCACTTAATTTATATCTTTCGTTATGCCAAAGGGGGCGCGAGGGGCTTTAAATAACAACAACTACTTTTCTATTAATTTAAAAATATATTCTTAAATTTACACATTTGATTCAAATCTGAGCCTGATACTCAGCTTTTTCTCGATACAGTGCCACGCGAAATTATTACTGGAATTGTTCTTCGCGTTTATTTATTTCGGTTTATTATCCACTCGGCTGAAAAGCTCATGTTCCATAACCGAATGTTGCATAGTCTCAACTTTGTGACGACACTTTCAATCATGGTAAATTTAAGTCGTAGTGATTTCTTTTCTTCTGGAGTTGTCGTGACAGCGAGTGTGTATGTACGTTTTCTTTATTAATTACTGCTCCAAGTCCAGCGTTATGTTTTGTTCTCCATATTTTTATAATTTAAAAAAGTTTTTTTTTAAATAAAATTGATAAAGTATATCTTTAAAACATATTTTACTTAGAAAGTATATTGCTAAAGAAAAATAGATATATATATAATAATAAGTTGGTTTGATATAAAAAACATAGAAGTTAAAAAATATGTAGACGTATAATAGATAGATGAGAAGTTTGTTTTATATGCCAAAAAGGCAAAAAAGCATCCAACCAATATTAGGCCAGACCAAGTTGATTCTCTGTTTTACATTACCCCCTCTCCCCTCCGGAGGAGAGGGGGAGGGGAGGGGTGGTTTACATAGTAAAATTTAAAAAAAAAAATTCCGAATTGTTCCGTGACTATATAAAAATTCTCCGAAATAGCCCGAAGTCCTATATATATTTATCTAAATTTTTTTACTATGAGGGAGAGGGGGGAACTCTGGGGGGGTAATGTAAAACAGAGAATCAACTTGGTCTGGCCTTATTATTCCTTATAAAGATTTGACCAGTCAAAAATTCAATATACGAATAATTATTAGTGAGGTTATTCTTTATTCTTTATTTATCATACAGTATTTGAAAATTAAAGCAATTTTATTTTATTTTTTAGTCTTTATTGGAAATGCGACGTGACCTTTAGCTCATATAGTTAATAAAACAATAATACTCGTACAGATCTATGTTCATAAGGGGTTTTATAACGTCCACCTTCGTGACCGCAAAATTCTTCAACACTATTTTTCTGATACACGATTCATTTATTTGCGTGAACTCTTGGCATATGAAGATAGACTGATTCATGAATTTTAAATTTTAACGGTAGAAAACACGAAAATTACAAGAACGGTGCTAATAAAAATGTAGGGGATGGTAGTCTAGAAGTTTAAAGACTTTCGGTGGATCAATAAAGCACCGAAATACCATCTCCAAAAGTTATAATACACGCAAATCATAGTTTCATTTCTCTAACTGGAAATTAACAATGTAGAAATTGAAATTTAAATGATTATATTCGAGAATCACATCAGAAGAATTTCGATTTATACGTAACATCAGAACTTTTATGGAATCTTTTAAATCCTCCATTTTAGATAGTCTGTGCATTTAGTTTTAATCAATACTTTAAAGAAAACTGTATAAATAACATTTAAAAAACTTTCAAACAGAATTTCAAACAGTATTTCAAACAGTGAATGTTAAAAATTATTGTTATATAACGCAACAAATTATTTATTTCAAACTATCTCATATATTCCCTATTGATAATTTCTTAAAAATTTTTACAAATTTTGTCTTTCAAATTTAATTTAGTTAAAAAACTGCTAAGAAAAATTCATCCGTTAACAATAGTTCCTGTGTAAGAAAAAAATATTAAGTATCCATCAAACGTCAAATAAATAAATAAATAAATACGATAATGATTAAGTCTCACCTCCATTAGGATGGAGAACCTATGCATAAGAAAACGATCATGTTAATGTTAATTCTGGTTTATTTATAAATTTTAAATATATGTGCAGCTAATTTACCTGACCAGACATATAAGTAGAATCATTACTAGCGAGAAAAACGTAACAAGGTGCTACTTCTGTAAGAGAGAATTTTTTTTTTACATATCAAGAGAAACAATCAAACTTGTAAGACATTCTCATACCTGAAGGTTGGCCTGCTCGACTAAAAGGCGTCTCTTTTCCAAAGTCCTCTAGCATTTCAGGAGGGAAACTTGCTTTGACCAAAGGTGTCCAAATCGGTCCTATAGGTAACGCGTAGTGTATATTTAATGTAATGAACGCGATATTACAAAAGATATAACATAAATAAATTGTGAAATACCTGGAGCAACGGCATTAACGCGAATTCCTTTACAAACCAACTGAAGGCTAAGTGATCTATTATTGCCAGTAAAATGATGTTAACGCAAGAGAAAATTGAGATTACATGAAGAATCATACCTAGTGAAGCCAACGATGGCCGCCTATAGATAACAGAAAATGTGAGATATATAAAACCATGATTAAAAATTACATTGCCGATAAGGTACCTTCGTCATGGAGTAATCAATCAACAAAGAATGGCCTTTATAGGCGGTAACTGAGGACGTATTGATGATGGAACTAATAATTGATTAGTGATACGAGGTTTATGCCTTTCGGTAAAAATGTATTTTTTTTTAACGGATCACCATGTACAGTACCTTCCTTTCTTCATGTGCTTAAGTGCGTGCTTAGTAATAAAAACCATTCCAAAAATATTTGTCCTTTAAAGATTCGAAATATTTATTAGTACAAATCCAAATATATACATACGTATGTATAATACGTATGTAATATCTATTAAAATTACCCACCTAAAAGTTTTCTCAAGCTGCTCTGCGCTAAGATCCTGAACATTTCCACCCACATGTTGTTCCGAAGCGTTATTTACTAACACATCAATTCTGCCCCATTTTTTAACCACATGATCAATGATTTCAATTGCGTTTTCTTCACATCCAACATCCTTACAAATCAATTCCACCTGAGTACTCGATTGTTTCTCAATCCTTCGTTTAGTTTCTTGTGCGTCTTTTTCTTCACGTGGCAAATACACAATTGCTATTCCCGCACAACCTTCGAGTGAGAATAAGGTCGCTATTGATCGACCAATTCCAGAATCACCTCCGGTAATAAGAGCAATTTTAGATTTTAATTTTCCAGCTGCTTGATATTCTACGAGATGTTCGTCGTCGGCAGGTAAATGATGGACAAGAGGTTGAGGTTTCATTTCATATTGCACACCTTTTTTGAAATTTTTTATATTTTAGATGATATTTTTTACGCGTTCAAAAATAACAATAAAAAAGCCGCTTAATCGACTAGATGATATGATGTATGAACCAGGTTGCTCTTGCACTTCTTGCTTCGGAATTTTCGAAACATCCGAAAGGCTTTTAGGTAACTCTTCCTTTGAACACATAGTGTAAACTTATAAAAATACGTAAGTGGATATGTCTTCCTCTGGTTCCTTATACTTTTTGCGATCCTTTTATATTTATCGCCTCTCTATTTAACTTTTCTAACTTGCATTTTAGGTCATCATTACAAACGAATATTTCCATTCAAAGATTATTATGACATCATTACATCTGAAATTAGTCATTATAACGTAACAGTAATAATATCAATCGATATTTTCTCAAGTCTATTTTTTTTGTTCTAGCATAGGGTTTTGCTCTGATGTAATTATGACTAATTTATAAGTCCTATTTTTTTTATGATAAGCGAATATACTAATGTTAGAAATTCCTGTTAAAATTTATGTTCAAATTTTTGCCTAATTATATAGATTATACGTCAAAAGATTTTTAATTTTTGCATGCTTGATAAAATTTTAGAAACTATACTTGAAGAAGTTAAAAATAAATTTTTTTACTTAATGCCTTTTAATATGCCAAACATTTTTAATTGCAGCTGTTCTCAAATTCTGGAACATCTAGCAAAAAATTGACCGACCAAATATTTGGAGGTAGGTTAGTGGTGCCATAAAAATGTCGCGGTCATGTGATCTTCGACTATTTCCGACCCATTAATTTATTGATTGACATATGATCAATATATAATGTAAATGTTATTGCTACTTGATCAGTGTCAAATTCGTACTATCAAATGAGTCGGAAAGGGTCGACTATCACGTCACCGCGACATTTTTATGGCACCACTAACCTACCTAATATTTGGACCGGGGTAAAATCGCCACCCAAAAAAGTTTCGAAAATCATGTGATATTATCAATTCATCATGATTAGGATCATGATGCGTAATAATACTTATTGATTTAGTAAGTGATTTATTTTCTTCGATTCTTCAAAATGAAAGCGATCGTAAACTAAGTGATTCTTTTAAAGACATAAAATTCAATAAACACAATATTCTACGTAAAAATATACATCAACGCCGTAACTCAATTTCCACTAATAATAAACGAAAAAAAAAGAATGAAAATCGAAATAAATTATAAAACTAATCAACAAAATGTAATTGCACAGAAAACCTTGTAGACTTTATTTTTAATGCTCCTTCGGAAGACTATAACTGATTATTTATTTGAGCAAAAAGTTGTTATAATTCTGAATCCAGAAAAACATTATTGAAGAAAATATAATGAATCAAATAGTAACAAATGGCTCGATAGTATTAATAAAAACTTTGAGCCATTGCATAAATTGGAGGAGGATTATAATCATTTTAAAAGACAATGGAATATTCCAAATGCTTAGAAAACCATTAATCATAATACTTTCTGGCTGTAATAAATATTACGTTTATTGAGTTTATTCGAATAAATAAAATTGCTTATCGTTATCATTTTGTTAGTCTAAAATTTTTTTCGTTTGTATTTTGTTGGTTCAAGCTACATGAATATTTAGTGTTTTACATATTTGTCACGTGATGTTCGAAGCTTTTTTGGGTGACGATTTTACCCCCGGTCGAATATTTGCGATTTGATAAGTTTGTGATTTCGAACCAGGGACATGGAAATTATGTTTAGTGTGATTAAACAAAATCACACTAAATTTTATTTCACTTATATTACGTTAGTATCATATGCACTCGTTTTAAATTTTAGTATCATATTTTAAAATGTAAAAAACAACAATTAAGGTAATTTCGTAACTATAAATAATTTTATTTTAGATTAATTACTCTGATACGCTTACAAATTTTTATTAAAAAAAGTGGTTTGTAACAATAAATAAATCAGAAACAGATAAATTTTGTTTAGTTGAACGCAATATTTTATTAAAAAGTGTTTTTTAACAATAAATAATTAGAAACAGATAAGTTTTTGTTTAGTTGAGCGCAGTATTTAAAAAAATTGCAAGTTTTTTTACGAGATAAAATTGCTTAGTAAATATTAAATCGCACTTTTAATTTTTAATCATCAGTAAATCGAATATTTCATATACACCGCACGCATAATTTACAAATTCTTTTATCGCATAAATTCCGTGTCCCTGTTTCGAACTTATCAAATCGGTAAATATTCGGTCAGTCAATTTTTTGCCAGACGTTCCAGAATTTATGAAAACCTCCGTTCCCGGTATTCGTTCGATAATTATCCTTACAGGCAAATTACCTGCGATTGCACTATCAAACTATATATCCCAATTCATTTTAAGCTACGCTATATATGTTATTACAATCGTTAAATTACAATGCTAAGTAAATAATGATCAGTTATGAGAATCCTCTTATACAGTAAACAAAAACAAATCAAGTTTATTTTTAATAGCTATGTGACTAAGATTTTTTGATAGAATGCCTTATAGCTTGGTTGTTCTAAGTAAAAGACAGTACCATAACAACCCCTTTTAACCTTAACCTAGTTTCAAAAAATCATAACCTAAGTTTTACCAGAAAACATTTTACAATGCAAACAGTAAAAAACATATAGTGTTGGACACTGTAGATATATTTTACTTAATAATAATTTTTTTTAAAAAAAGGCTGGTATTGGTTTTTTCGTAATATATACATAATCGATTTATAATTAATTTTAAAATTTAAAATCCGTTATATCCTTTATCCGTTAAATCCATAGTTTATCGTAATTATTAGTTAGTATTCATAAAAATAAACATCAAACTTAAAAAACAGGACAATTTTAGTAATGCGACTTTCATGACGATTATTAAATTTTTATATTTAATTATGTGCCAATGTTAGTAATTTAGTGTTCAATTGAGAAGATTTTTCTTCATCCTTTTTTATGCCTATTCCATTTTCATAGCAATTAGCAAGATTAAGCATTCCACTAGAATTTCCACTTTCAGCAGACTTCTTATACCAATGAAATGCTTGTTGCTCGTCTTTAATCGTGCCAATCCCATTTTCAAAGCAGTACCCAAGATTATTTTGTCCGTCTGAATTTCCTCCTTCTGCAGATTTTTTATACCATTGAAATGCTTCTTGATCATTTTTAATAGTTCCGATTCCATGTTGATAACAAAACCCAAGTTCATTTTGCCCTCCATATAAACAAAATTCATTGTTATATAATTAGTATGAACCGTCCCAAATAAGGAAATGATGATCACGATGCATATTGGTTTAGCCAATCAAACTTGTAAATTTTTATCATGTGAAAATTATCACGTGCTGATTAACCTACAAAATAAAAAGAAACGAAATTTAATTAAAATTTATAGTTAAAGTTCAAAGTAAATGCTGCCAAATGTTATTATTAGGTAAGCAAGCATGTATTGATTAATTTAACCTGAGATTATTAATTCATGTTTCTATTTATTTACAAAATCTCAATCATCTATATATGACTAATCTTACGTCTAATTATACTGTCAGAGGCTAATCGACCAAAATAACACCTTCAACAATAGGGACGAAAAATGATGATCTGGCGTGTCAGAAGAGAGCAAGGTCGAATAACAATGCTCAGTAGAAAGATGAGGCGGATTTTGATTTGGCACGGTTCAAAGGCGTTTACTGAGTATCGTTAAATAAGTAATTAAATACAAAGTTTTTTTAAAGAGTGTTTTAGCGTAAGATTATTCAAAAGCTTTTTTATTATTAACGACTTTATTGTGTAGGGACAAATTACAATCTTCGTAACTTCTTTTTTTTTTTTAGGGTAAAATTGCACACGTACTAATAATTTGACAAGAGGAATTCAACCTCTTTTTTATAGCAAAATTACAGGGCAAGAAAAAGAACAAGATTGAACGTTTTCTCCCATCTCTAATCATCGACCGTCATTGAACTCAAGCCATCTGACCCTTTTCTGGTCTAATTCCCAACCTTTCACACAGCCATTTTCATTGAAGCGTTCGACGGGATGAAAAAGAAGGTAAAAAGAAGGTAAGTCGAATGAAGGCTTTTACACCATCATCGTTCTTTACCTGTCAATTTACTCATTCATTCATTGACTCTTCCATTAAACATGTGCTTTTCTCTTTCACGGCCACACACCTTACCCGACAAGGTAATATTGCCTTGACAGCTGTCAACCAAATCGGGTAAGTGTCTTTTTTCCTCAATGAGATCGTTGATGAAGCTTAGCTTATGCATTTTCACGAGATCTTGATTCAGGTTCTTAGAATTCCGGGGCAGTGTGAAAAGTACCCTCTCGGACGGGGGAGGGTACTATAATAGAAGGGTACTTTACATAGTTTAATATTAGTTTAATAAGGATTCAAATATAAATATTATATATATCTAACTAGGATAATATCCGGGTCTTATTCAATCTTCTGAATCACGAACCCATGAATTGTGCCCGGGTCTTTTTCATAGGGGGTATTATAGCAGGACGATACTATAGTCAGTGCCGTACAGTAAACCCTAATATTAAATTTTATCAAATAGTAAATACAATAAAAAAAAAATCAGGTGTTGAACACCATAAGTGCATTTTTAATATTTAAATATTTTTGAATAAAAATATACAATTAGGTATTTATAGACAAAAATGTCAGGTTTGAAAAAATGAATATTGTAAATAATTTTAATAATACAAATTCCATAACTATTACAGTTTACCCTGTCAAAACCGATTCTGTCAAAACTGATAACTGATAAAAAAATCAATCTGATAACCTTTAAAACTGATATAAAATCGTCTACATGCATATCACTTGTGACAGGATAGACTGTATTACTAAATTATAATGTTTAAATTTGTATCAAGATTCTTCTATAGTAATCTTATTATATAATTGAGAAGCTCTTCTCCTATTTTTGGACGTGCCTATTCCATTTTCATAACAATTAGCAAGATTAATTAGTCCACTAGAATTTCCACTTTCAGCGGACTTCATATACCACTGAAATGCTTTTTGCTCGTCTTTAATCGTGCCAATCCCATTTTCAAAACAATATCCAAGATTATTCTGTCCGTCTGAATTTCCACCTTCCGCAGATTTTTTATACCATAGAAATGCTTTCTGCTCATTTTTAATGGTTCCAATTCCGTGCTGATAACAATATCCAAGTTCATTTTGCCCTTTAGAGTCCCCATTTTTAGCAGAATTCATGTACCACTGAAATAAAGCCTCCTTTTCTTTTTCAGAAGTTTTCATGTCCCACTGTAATGCTTCTTGTTCATTTTTTATAGTACCAATTCCGTTTTCATAACAATTTTTAAGATTATTTTGTCCATCAATATTTCCCCGATCAGCAGCTTTCTTATACCACCGGAATGCTTCTTGCTCGTCTTTAGCAATTCCAATTCCATATTGATAACAATATCCAAGGCTATTTTGACCACGTGAATTTCCGTTTATTGCAGACTTCCTGTACCAATAGAAAGCTTCCTCTTCATTTATCATAGTTCCAATTCCATATTGATAACAATATCCAAGGCTGTTTTGGCCACGGGAACTTCCATTTTCCGCAGATTTCTTGTACCATTGGAGTGCTTCTTGCTCATCTTTGATGACGCCGATTCCATTTTGATAACAAAATCCAAGATTATTTTGTGCACCCGGATCTTTATTTTCAGCGGATTTCCTATACCACCGAAATGCTTCTTGCTCGTCTTCAGCGATTCCAATTCCATATTGATAACAATATCCAAGACTATTTTGCCCACAGTAATATCCGTTTTCTGCAGACTTCTTGTACCATCGAAATGCTTCTTCCTCATTTTTCGTAGTTCCAATTCCTTTTTGATGACAAAATCCAAGGCTATGTTGAGCAAAAGAATTTCCTCTTTCAGCAAACATCAAATACCATCGAAATGCTTCTTGCTCATCTTTAGTAGTTCCAATTCCATGTTGATAACAAAATCCAACGTTATTTTGTGCTTTGGGATTTCCATTTTCAGCAGACTTCGTATACCATCGAAATGCCTTTTCTTCATCTTTGGTGGCTCCAATTCCATTTTGATAGCAATATCCAAGTTCATTTTGTGCTTTAGGATTTCCATTTGTAGCAGACTTCATATACCATTGGAATGCCTTTTCTTTATCTTTAGCAGTTCCAATTCCAATTTGATAACAATATCCAACACTGTTTTGCGCATGGTGATTTCCATTTTCTGCAGATTTCAGATAGCATTGGAATGCCTTCTCATCATTTTTGGTAGTTCCGACTCCGTTTTTATAAATATTACCAAAAACATTATAAACAAAAGCTTCTGTAGATTTTGTAATCCTATATATTGGCCTTAATATTATGTTACTTGACTGACTTTGAATGTTATTTTCATATTCTTTAGCTTGTTCATACATTCTCTGAGCCTTCCGTTGATTTATTTTAACACCAATTCCATGCTCATAGAAAAAACCAATTAAATAAGCAAATACTGGTTGTCCTTGATATTTTAACAATCTTTTAAATACTTTATCTGAATTTTCATTATAATTTTTAATTAACTCTTTAATCTGGTTAATAAGCAATTTTGGTTCTTCAGAAATATTATTGTAATTTAAAAAAAGCAGTATTAATTGCCTTAGAAATTGTTTATTGGAATCTTCGATATTGTTATCTATATATTCGAGTATTTTTGGATCGATCTTTGTAATAAAATTTTTATTAAGATTTAATGTTGGATTTAAAGCTTTATCAATATTTGATGTAACATTTAAGGCTTCATCAACATTTGATATAAAATTTAGAGCTTCGATATTTGATGCTGAATTTAATACCTCAATCTTTGATGAATTCGAAGTTTCTGCACTTAAAGTTTTAACATTTGATGCTGAGCTTAAAGCCTCATTTAAGCTACGATAAGCCTCAGAATCATCATCAATTTCACTAATTAATTTTTGAATAATGTTAGTTGTAGCTAGTTTGTTATTATCACCATCATCTTCAAGTTCAGCTTCATCGACAGATATTACATTATCTATATTAATATTTTCAAGCTTGGA